CTCTACACATATTTCTGAGCCACCTCTCCATATCCAGATGGCAATGAGACCCTGGAAGACAGAGATACGCATTAATGTGACCCAGTTATTGAGCTAAATATAGCAGTAGAATCATCAATATTTCCATAGCCTAAGGGAAATCCATTTCAACTTTCCTGATATTTTTAATTACTCAAGACATTTTCTGCTTAGCTTTACATATGATTATCGACCCAACGGAATATGAATTTGGTTCTAACCCTGGTACTTTTAGAACTAGCTTCTTTCTGACTACATGAATATTTCCACAGCAGGAATCATATGGACTGGAGTCAGGACAGACTTTGCCTGCCATTAGCCATTCATGAAGAGGAGTATTATTATCTATGAGAAATAAAGTAACCCTCCAGCCCCAAGTACCTCTGATGTCAGCTGAGGCAGACAGAAAATACTAACTATACGGCATCAGGGGTTCCATCCTAGAAGACACGTCCTGGATCTCTTCTGGAGATCATTCTTGTGCATGGCAATTGGACTATGTTATATGGTTTGACATATTCGTTCCCTAAAGGCTTTCCTTGGAGTTTACTTATAGGAGCCAGGGGAATTAAATATTTTGGAGAAAGGGACTCTGAAAAGAAGACAAGAATATTCCCTCCAGGGGCTAATTAACCTGACTTGTTTATCCTCTTGGAAAACAGATGTCGCAAGGCCCTTTCTATTGAACCATCTTGAGAAGACAGGATCTAAGAAATATCTACTGTTTCCTACCTTCTTCTGTGTGTCAAGTTATAGAAAAGGTGTGAAGGGATGAAAGTGTGCAGTCATCATTAGTATTCACCATTCTAGCTTTTGTTTAGGCTCCGGTTTTATATTGTACATAAATAAAACATGTTAAGAAATTTCAGGCACAGATGTAAAAGAAGAAATGGGGGATATCTTGATATGTTCTTATTTACTCTCATTTAAGGATTTAGAAGCTCCGTCTGACATACTGTGGGCATGCTGCAAGGAGGAACCAGTCTTTGAAGGGGCACATCATGCTTGGAAGGGTGAGGGACAGTGCAAGAAAGGAAGACCTTGGATGAGATTAATTGACTCAGTGACTGGGGTAATGGGGATAGGTGTGTCAGAGACTATAAAATTGGCTCAGGACAGAGCAAGGTTCAGAGCTGTTGTACACAGGGTTGCTATGAGTCGGAGTTGACTCAAAGACACCTAACAACAACAGTTCTCATACCTCGCCTGTCCTCTTCGTTATAAATATATTGTTATTGTTGTTGTTATGTGCCATCGAGTTGCTTGTGACTCATAGCGACCCTATGTACCCGAGCTCTAAATGCTACTCTATCCTGTGCCAACCTAGCCTTCTCAAACGCACTTATTCCCACCGCTCCAGTCACAGAATCGATCCATCTCATCAAAGGTCTTCCTCTCTTTTGCCGCCCCTCCACTCTGCCAAACATGATGTCCCTCTCCGAGGACCAGTCCCTCCTTGCAACATGCCCAAAATATGTCAGGTGAAGCTTCAGAGTCCTTGACTCCAGGGAACACTCTGGCTTCACCCTCTCCTATTGAACTCTATTTCTTTCTCTAATCTCCATTATAAACTTGCAGCCTCTAAAACCCAATGGAAGTTCACTATGAGTCAGAACAATTTCTACAACCATGATTTAGAACCATTCGCTGGGTTAAAAAATTGTTTTAAAGTCTCAAATCAGCTAGTAAAATATCATGCTTCACTGATCTTGGCTCAATTTTAAGGATTTTCCTTTGAGTAGATTCTCACCAGGTTGAGCACTCACTCTTCTCCAACATCACAACTCAAAGGTATCAATCCTTCTTCTATCATCTTTAGCTATTGTCCAGCTTTCTGATGCTTAGCATCTAATTGCAAAAGACATGGCCTGGATCAGGCACACCTTAGTCTCCAGAGTGACATTGTTGCTCTTCAGTACTCTAGAGAGGTCCCGAACAGCAGAACTTTCCCCAATGCAATTTGTCTTTTGGTTTCCTGACTTCTGGTGCCAAGAGTGTTGATAATGAAACCAAGCAAGATGAAGTAGTTAACAATCCCAATCTCTTCTCTTTCTATCATGAAGCTGCCAATTGGCCAAGTTGTGAGAATTTTTGTCTTCTTGATGTTGAGATTCAATCCATATTGAAAACTATT